TTGTTTTCTGATGCACTTTGACCCATTTCATCATACAAATCCAACAGGACCACACATGCTTAAATGGCCAGCTTCAGTGTTGTTCAGTTGTGTGATTCAAATATACAGCAAACTGATAACAAAATAATCTTACTTCTCTTGCCTGATGTCAAGAGAACAAATCCCCAGTCTTTATTTTCCTGGTGTGTAATGTACAATGTGAGTGGTAATGGAAACATTAGCTTTATAATTTGTCTCTGTGACTCAATTAAATACTCACAGGTGACTAATAAATGTGATTCTGTCCTAGGAAGGATGTCAGGCATGGCCTGAACAGCTAAGATTTGGTGCATTGTTTAATTAGCATCATCTGGGTGGTCATCTGACATTACAGTCATAGAACAGGGGGATGGGACAATAACTAACAGGCAGTTTCTGATTCAGGATTTCCCCCAGATCTTCTGAATGGGTCTGTTCACCCGACTTCTTGGCAAGGGGCTTTTTCCTGGTCAGGCTGATCTTTACATACAAGAGTTAATTATATCAATTTGCATGAGAGGTTCTGGGGCAGCTGGAGGCTCTATTGCAGAGATTCTCAACCTATGAGTCACGACCCCTTCGGGGGTCACACGACCCTTTCACAGGGGTCATCTAAGGCCATTTGAAAACACAGATATCTATCTACATTACGATTCATAACAGTAGCAGAATTACAGTTATGAAGCAGCAATGAAAATAATTTTTTTTGGTTGGAGGTCACCACAACATGAGGAACTAACTGTATTAAAGGGTGGCAGCTTTAAGGTCGAGAGAGGACAGCCACATTTATGATCCGAAGGATCCTCAACTGCTGGTTCAAGCTGTTGGTGAAGGGGACTGTCCTGTTAGACAGTCTCTGCAGGGAAAATGGGGAAGGAGTGAGGGCTTCCAGAGCAGACTGATGTTTCCTATGGGTTTTCACTGAGAGCATTTGTTTAGATATGATGTTTATTATACAAATCCAGTATTCATGGTCACTTTACTCTCTGCCTGCAAAATTGAAGATGTTTCTCATGCGAAAGAAAATAGGCTGCATATTCTTTGTGTAACTAAAGACAGAGTAAGTAAAAATTGAACTGTCTTGTATTGTCTTTGCCCCACATCTGTCCACAGATGCATGTATGTGTACATGCACACAGGGCCATGGGCCTTTTCCTTCTGCTACATCCCCTCAAAAGTCCATAACCCCCACTACGAGAAATGCCAAGATGAATGAAGATTACGAAGGGGAGATGGAGGGGGGGTGTCATCGCAGAGCAGACAGCTTCCTACCCAACTTCACCATTTCTACAGTGTGTCTCTTTGTACACGGATCTAGTTTTTCACTATGATCTCCTGTACTGGTATTTGCTTATTGTAGGCTTCAATGGACGCTGTAAAGATACGCGACACACAATTACTGACAGTAAAGCTAAGTATTTAATGTAGAAAATTACTCACAAGATACCAAACCCAGAGGAGCCAAGCAGTTCTCAGCTAGCCGCCGGACCAGAAGCCGAACTCCAGGAAAAGAGACCGAGACTTCCTGAGTGCTGTCTTTTATGCCTTCCCCCCGTAACGCCCCTAGCCATGCCCAAAAGTGGGCCTGGCTAGTGACATAGTTCCGCCTACGTACGTATACGTCTTTACATCCAGCCGTATACGTCTTTAGTCCTGCCTAAAGTGGGTGTGGTTAGCGGTGTGGTAAACCGCCCTTTTATTACCTCATCTGTATGCGCCTCTAATAAGTCACATGTTTAATGGCGGCATCAGACTTCCTCCTACAATTCCCCTTTTAGTCTAAAAAAGGACAACTAACTTGTATCCATGAACAAAATGTATCAAACTTCTATCTAAACCTAAACTTATCTGAAAGAAACACCCAAATATGAACACCTCCTTCCAATCCCAACTCTAAAATAATTGAAAACTAACACTAACAGGTGTAAACTATCTTATAATATCAATAGTAGGGAGAGGGGGCGTGGAATTCTCAAAACTACTTCCTGCTGAGATGGGACGATGATAATCTCATGGGGACCTGTGAAAAGAAAATGTTAGTATAACAAAATCTCAGTAGATCAGACAGTCTCAGTATGGCAGGAGATGCTTGATTGAAGTTCCTGACTAGGGTTCTAGTGTTGATTGAAGCTCTTATCTTGAAGCTCTGGTCAGATTGTAGAAGATGTGCTGTTTCAGTTTCTTGGTCCGGAGATGTGTAGAGTGATGTAGTTTCAAGCCAGTTTCAGGATAGTGCTTGTCAGGTGGAGTCAATGATGTGGGGCAATTCAGATGCCTCCAGTCGAATCAGGTGAAGTCAAGGAAGTGGATCCTCATTCTCTTTCGGAAGCAGTTGAAGATTGCTGTCAGGAAATCCCTTGCTCTCTGGAAAACTCAAACATTAATGTTAACAAAGAAATATTTTAACTTTCATATGTATGCATACAAAAGAGAAGATGGAAAGCCTGGAGGAAATTAGACTGTTCAGAAAAAGAAATCCACAGATAACAGTCCCTCATTTCATTTCTTCTGTCTTATATCAATGGCTCTTTGATATAATACAGAAATTTTGAATTGTATTTAAATAATATGCTTGGGTTTAGGGTAGGAGAGCCAATCCAACTCCAAAGCCAGCTTCAGTTAAATGAATGGGAACTGAGGTATGTGAAGAAATAAAGATAAAAGGGTACTATGAAAAAACAATATAGAGAGATTTAGACTTTGATACCACACAGTGAGATACTGTTTGTTTGATGGTCCTCAGGGTAGCTATTAATTCTTCTACAGGAATCCATAAGTCCAGTATTCTTTGCTGAGTTTACCTGTGAATACAAAAAACAAAACACTTCTCTTTCCTTTTAGGAGGTCACTTTACCCATGGTGGACTATGAATTTGTAGATGGGCTGTTATCTTCCTCCTCCTGAGATGGTTTCTGTTCTGATCGAATTTTAATTAATTTTGATGGAACCCAAACCTTTTCTTCTCCTGTGGAAACAAAAGCATAACCCCTTCCCCAACATAACACATATCCTGGTTTCCAGACTGAGGTCATAACATCCTTAAAATACACCGGTTGGTTCAGTTCAGAAGTCTTCTCTGTAGTCCAGTGTCTTTCTGCTGCAGTTTGTCCTTTTTCATCAGCATTAAGAAAATTCAACGTTAGTAAAGCATTGTGTAACCTGTGTTTAGGTGTCTTTGTTTTCCCTGGCTGTTTATGAAGCATCTCTTTTAAGGTTCGGTTAGATCTTTCAATTATTGCTTGTCCTGTGGGATTGTAAGGTATACCAGTTACATGTTTTATATTATAATATTTGAAGAATTGTTCCAATTTACTGGAGACATATGCTGGACCATTGTCAGTTTTTATTGTTTTAGGTATACCCATAACAGCCATTACCTCTAAGAGGTGTGTAATAACAGAGTCAGCTTTTTCAGAGCTGAGGGCAGTAGCCCATTGGAAGCCTGAGTACGTGTCTATAGTATGGTGTACATATTTCAAACTGCCAAATTCTGGGAAGTGAAATACATCCATTTGCAAAAGTTCATTTCTGTGAACACCTTTAGGATTACAACCTGCTGGTAATGGAGTTTGATTGTACAATGAGCAACTGGGACAATTTCTTACTATTTCTTTGGCTTGTTGCCAGGTGATAGAAAAATCCTTCTTTAAACCTTTGCTGTTAACATGGTGTTTCTTATGAAATTCTGAAGCTTCCAACACATTACCTACTAATAAACGATCAATTTCATCATTGCCTTGTGCCAGAGGACCTGGCAGACCTGTATGGGATCTGATGTGTGTTATATATATAGGATGAGTCCTGTTTCTGATGATTTCCTGCAATTGTAAAAACAATGAGGTTAATTCTGTATTATCAGGAACAAATTCTGCAGTCTCAATGTGCAGGACAACTCTTTCTGCATACTGAGAATCCGTGACTATATTGAGAGGCTCTGTAAAGTCTTTAAGTACCATGAGAATGGCATATAACTCTGCCTTTTGTACGGAGTTGTAAGGGCTTTGAACTACTTTACTTATTTTTCCTGATTTATACCCTGCTTTACCTGATTTGTTTGCATCCGTGTAGAAGGTAAGAACTCCAGAAATAGGTGTTTGCCTCACGATACGTGGAAGAATCCAAATTGTTTTCTTTATGAATTTGATTCTCTCTGTTTTGGGATAGTTATTACTAATACTTCCCAAAAAGTCACTGCAAGCTATTTGCCAATACTCATTATCCTTCCATAAGGAGGAAATTTCCTCATTCGTTAAAGGTACAATAATTTCAGCTGGGTCTTTCCCAGTCAGTTGACGAAGCCTTAATTTACCTTTTAATATCAAATCAGAGATCTTTTCTATATATGTTTTCAATTTTTTATTCTCTTTATGTGGCAGAAATACCCATTCTAGAATGATGTCTTCCCTCTGCATTAATATTCCTGAGGGGTATTCTCTAGATGGTAAAATAACCAGAATACAGTCCAGATTTGGATCCACACTCTCCACATGTGCTTCTAATATTCTCTTTTCTACCCATTCTAATTCTTTTTCAGCCTCAGCTGATAGTACTCGTGGGCTGTTTAGGTCTTCTGACACCAAACTGTAGGCTTCAACGGACGCTGTAAAGATACGCGACACACAATTACTGACAGTAAAGCTAAGTATTTAATGTAGAAAATTACTCACAAGATACCAAACCCAGAGGAGCCAAGCAGTTCTCAGCTAGCCGCCGGACCAGAAGCCGAACTCCAGGAAAAGAGACCGAGACTTCCTGAGTGCTGTCTTTTATGCCTTCCCCCGTAACGCCCCTAGCCATGCCCAAAAGTGGGCCTGGCTAGTGACATAGTTCCGCCTACGTACGTATACGTCTTTACATCCAGCCGTATACGTCTTTAGTCCTGCCTAAAGTGGGTGTGGTTAGCGGTGTGGTAAACCGCCCTTTTATTACCTCATCTGTATGCGCCTCTAATAAGTCACATGTTTAATGGCGGCATCAGACTTCCTCCTACAGCTTATATTTGACCATATCCCTGCATTCTTTTGCCTGCTGTCTTCCACTGCCACCACAGGTTTCTTCACTGGGACAAGAGAGTTGCCTGGCTCATGGCCCTGATTTTAGGGTCAGATCATTACTCATCAGCTCTACCAGTTAAGCGGCAGGTGACCTTGTCAAGGTAATAAGTTGGCCTGGATCTTTGATCCTTATTTGTACAATAAGGAAAAAAGAGTATATAGAATTACTGTAAGAATCAATCAGGTTAATAGATGGAGATTGGAGCAGTATGAGACTGGCAAATGCTTACAAATTGTTGATCTTTTCGTCAGGACTGCTTTATTCCTTTATTGCTTTTCTGGTTGCTGAGGCAAAATGTCAGACAAAAGCAACTTAAGGGGGAGGGTTAATTATGTCTCATCATTTGAGGGTACAGTCTATCTGGTGGGGAAGGCATGGGAGCAGGGGTGTCAAACAGCTGTTTGAATTGTGTCTGGAGTCAGGAAGCAAAGAGACCAATGCTGTTCCTTGGCTCACTCTTTCTCCTTGGCTCATTCTGGAACTCCAGCTCCTGGAATGGTCCTGCCCACATCAGGATGGATCTTCTCACTTCAGGTGAGCCTCTCCGGAAACTGTTTCACAGACATGCCCGAGAGTGTGTCTCCCAGGTGATTGTGAACTTCATCAAGTCGACAGAGATGATTACACACAACAGTCCTGCCAACAGTGGCCTACCTTTCTATCATTCATAGATTTTTTCCTCCTATTTTATGAAGACTGGTTCAGTGGCCACTGTTTGCCCTCTGAATACACCTTTGAGATCACACCTTCCTAACCATGTGGCTGAGAAATTCTGGTAAGTAATCATTGTTACATATGATGATACATTTTTATCATTATATCATATATGCTCTTGGTGGATGTGAAAGATGGTAAAGGATGAGCAGATGGGACAGGGCTGGTTTGTTGGGGGGCTGCAGGGAGGAGCATAGGAGAAATAAATAGGTTGGATCTTGAGGACCATTTAAAGGACAAAAAAATGTTCTTCTTAGTCACGCCCTAGAAACATGTGTGTTTGGACAGCAACCTTCTGTGCTACAGATGCCCAATCATACCAATGAGTCTATTAAGATTTTCCTAGTCTCTCACCATCTCCATGAGGGGTAACAATGCTGGGCTGGAGAGATGGCTCAGAAGTTAAGAGCACTGACTGCTCTTCCAGAGGTCCTGAGTTCATTTCCCAGCAACCACATGGTGGCTCACAGCCATCCATAATGAGATCTGGTGCCCTCTTCTGGTGTGCAGACATACATGAGGCAAGATGTTGTATTCATAATAAATAAATAAATCTTTAAAAAAAAAACAATGCTTCTTCCCCATGTGAAGCTAGCCAGAGGGACAAACACTGGATATGACTGAGAGAATATATGGGCTTATGTGGAAGGTAGAGATTCCAGAACAACATTTCAGATGAAAAGCTGTAGAGGAAGCTAGACAAGAACCAAGATGTATCCAGCTTGTAGGGTCTAAGTGCAAAGGGAAAGTTTCTCCTAGAAAGATCAGCACCTCTAGATCCAGAAAGTGAACACACCTGAGGTAGAGTGTGGGTTGGCTTATGATGACCAGTACCCCATCTGGTGGGTGCCCCAACATTGGTTCATGTTGCATCAGAGCTCTGGAAGGCCAGAGGAAGGGTGGCTTCTCACAGGGGCGTGAGACAGAACCATTTGGATCTCTGTGAGTTCAAGGTCAGTCTGGTGTACTTAGTGTGTTCCAGGCTAGCTAGGGCTACATAATGAGATCTGTCTTAAAAACAAAACAATACAAAACAAATAAATCCACACACGCATACACACAATCTGTTGATCTACATTGCAAAGGTCAAGATGTAGTCATGCTGGGAGAGTTACAGAAGTGGGGTAGCAGGAGAAAACACAAGATGACAAGGTCAAGTGTGGTAAGAACTAAGACAGTGCTCCCTGGTTTGTACTGAAGGTATAGGCTGTACAGCTGGGCTGTGGCTACTTTGCAGAGTAAAGGAATGTGAACTGACTCTGGGAGAGAAAACTATAAGAAAATAACACAAGGAGCTGAATTCAGCCATTAATGAAAGCACACAATTTCCATCCTCTCCCACATAGTGCAAAAGCATGGCATGGTGGTGAGTGCTTGTAATCTCAGTACTTGGGAGCTCAGGCAGGAGGATTACCAGATGCCAGATGACCCTGTCTCAAAAGAAAGTGACAAAAGATAGTCTTGTACCTTGGAAGGAAACTTCTTACTTTGAACAATTAATAGTCACCAGCAAAGAGAGAGGGGGGGCATGTAGTTTGAATGTACTGGGGTTATCCAGCAAAAGGGAAAACTCAGTGGGGTCATTATTTCTAGATGCAGAGGTCTTTGGCATGGGAAGTTCTGGGGCGATGAAGGCAGTCACACTAGCAGGTCAACATTCTTCACATGCTGGTCCATTCGGCACACTCACTTTTCTCAAGGGAGGATGTGAAGGAAGTACTTCCAGGAATAGGCCTTCAGACTTGACTAACATAAAAGATGACTTGGTGATTTGACGTGGGACAAGCCACTTCACCCAGACTATGTTTTCTGAGTAAAAAGTGGCATCACCTGAGGATATTCCATCTCACTGAAGTTGGGCCACAGCCTCATCTTTCTCCTACTGGGCTTTGCCACAGTTCCACCTTGTCCCCAGCCTATCTATACCTGTCTCCTTTCATGCCCATTTCTTCTTAGAGGTTAAGTCACTGGCACTGCAAGACTTTCTGGGTAATACGTGTCTTGTAAGATGCTGTAGAGTCTTAATCTAAATGAGGGTCAGACATGTGTCAGGCTAATGGGAAAGTATTTTATATTGTGGGGTCTTGGAAACATAGCTCCTTGGGACACTCCATACTCAGTGTTGGTCAGACTGCACAGGCTAACAAGGGAAGGCCTCAAGAGAATTGAAAAAAGAAAGTCTGTCTCCTTCAACAAGGCTTTTGAACTTGGCTCTGATTTTTTCCCTCTAAGAGTAAAGGAAGTATTCTAAGGACTGGTCCCATTAGACTTCATGAACATCCGGAGCCTGAAGGGAAAACTGAGGAGAAAATGGAGTGTTCTTGCCATACTTGGCCTGGGGGCCAACATCTGAGACTTCTAGAGCTTAGCATGCACTTTTGCACATGAGTCAAGCCAGGACCAAGAGACGTCAAGCTGTGAGTGTGTTGGTCATTGGAAACAGCAGATTCCAAACAGCTGCCTCACTAACCCATTCCTTCAGAGGCCTCATTTGTGCCAGCTACTTGTCTCTGTCATCTGATCCTGCCCGGCTCTGCAGCACAGATGTGAAATACAAAGAGAACATGCCATTGGATTTCATTTCTAAAAGTGGATCCTATGCAGTTTACCATGGGTTGTTTAAAATATGAATGCCCTCATCTCCAAAGGGTTCCTGTAGCTTCCTGTAGCAGCAGCTCTGGGCAGTGGAGTGTGCCTGCAAGTTACTCCTGGCTGTGAAACCATTACACATGATTGCAGTTTGGGGCTTGCTTGAGGGCAGCAGCTTGTAGGTGCTTGGTTTAGTTCATTTCAGAGTTGCTTGGGATTGGGAGTCACTAGAAAACCTGATTTATTCATCAGGATATCAGGAGCTCCCAGAAGTCAGGACATATAGCTTACTTGCTCTTCCTTCCAGCATAGGGGGCAGACATAGAGGAGATTTTTGTTTTAAAAATAAGATTACATCTTTACTGAGGTACAGTCATGAAGAGTCAACCACATGCATTTCAAGCATTCTACTTGATGGCTTTTGGTAGATGCCAACACCCAGGAAACCAATACCATAGTCAAAATTGTGAACACACCCACCAGCCTCAGGTATTCTTAGGAACCTATATTAGCCTCTCCACCTTCTCTCACCATTCCCAGACAACCTCTCGTCTATTTCTGCCACTACAGGTTAGGCTGCATTCTCTAGAACTTTATACCAACAGTCACACACATGTTCTCTAGTTTTTGGTCTGTTTATTTTCACTGAGCATATAACTACCTTGAAACTCACTGATACATTAATAGTTTCTCCATTGTATGAATCCCAATAGGCACTTACTGTTTCTTCACAGACCTGGAAATTAATCCTTAAAGATATAATTGGGAAGAAGAGATGAGGCAATGGGTTCCAGTCTATTCTGAGTGAGAAGTCTCACTCAGGAAAACATAATATAATTGGGAAGTGAGTAGGCATGGGGGATGTCTTTCTTGTTGTCTGATATCTGTTACATGTCTTCTACCATAACTGACCTCTGGTTGGGCACAGAACTATTTGGAATAAAGATTCTATTTGCCGGCCTTCTGTGAAGGTAAGTGTGGTTATGTGACAGAATTGTGGTTGACATAATGGAAGCAGGAGAGTGTGAAATTTTTTAGAAGTCTCCTCGAAGGAGGAAGGATTTGCTCCTCTTTGTATTCTCACTGCCTGGCATGCAGCCATAATGTCTCGTGATCAAGCAGCCATTTTGGACCAGAAAGAACCTCAAGAATGGGAATCATTCATGGCAGAGAAATAATGAAGAACAGGCCTGGGTTTCTGATACTGTAGAGTGCCACACCAGACCTGAGCTAATGGCTTCCAGACTTGGTGACTGTGGGAGAGAAATAGCATTCTCTTGTTTACTTTCTCCTCCCCGAGATGAGTTCTCTTCGGTGCCTTTCTGTTTCTTGCCACAGAAAAGGTCTGGGGGTACAGTGGTGAGTTGAGAGCAAGTCAGGATGGAAACGACAGAGCGAGGTAGAGTGAGAAGCACTCTAGGGTGAGTGCCAAGATACTCGCATCATGTGATGTGATGTGACATCTAGCTCTACAGCAGGGGGAGATCTGACTAGAAGTGTGATATCAGCTGGTGGAACAGCTTCTTGTGAGCTCTGGAGAATCATTCCTTTATTTATTAGTTTTATTATTTTTTAAATCTAGACATGGAAATTACTTCCATGAATGGGCACCATCTGGTGTCTCTATTCATGTGTACGCTGTGTCATGTTCCAACCAGGGTAAGTGTACCTAATTCTTCAAACATTATTTCTTTTTTTTCTGTTCCAAAATATACTTACATTAAATAAGATACGCATTTCAGTAAGACCTACAGTGAATGACTATGGGTTCTGGGAAGCTTCACATCTAGGCAGGGCCAACATTTGTGGAAGAAGCTAAGAGAATGTGCATCCAAACACAGCCTATAGCGGGTTTCTTATTGCCAATCTGCCTGTCACACTGAACATGCCATTATATCACTTGTGCAGGACACCGATTTTGTTGGGAAAGGGAAGCAAGCACTATCCTCAAAGGTGAGTTCATTACAATTTCGGAGGAATTCCACAGCCTAGACAGTATAGTTTCAGTAAACATGTTAAGAGAAGCAGACAATGCTCTCGAGTCCCAGACACATTTTCTTGCTGTATTGTGTAGCCAGGAGGACGGTCTTCTTCTGGACAACATGGTTGCAAGACTGGGACAATCCCAAGGGGCTGACAGGGACTATGAGGATGGGGAGGAGGGCTACCTCAAGCTGTTTCACATCAGAGACAACTGGTGACAGTCCTCAGACCTGCAATCTCTCCTCTTATCATCTGGCATAGCGTTTGATGTACTCATCCACTTTGTCCCGGAAATCCTCCTTGTCTCGTAAATGATGTTCAGCAGCTTCAATATTCAGTGGATCATCAAAATTCAAAAGATCAGTAAATAATGAGTTTAATCCCCAAACATCATCCTTCAGTGTCCTAGTGGGAGCCCAGCCAGTGCCATCAATTGAGTGTTCTCTTAGTAAACATAGACATATTTCCCCTGTTTCAGTGATGTTGGGGTGCCAGATTTTAGTCCAGCATTTCACCTTGGAAGGCATCATATTGTAGGCATCAGGAACTTCAGTTTCAAACTGAAATTGTCCACCCTGGTAGTAACCCTCCTCTGGGTTTACAGTCAGCTGAAAGCAATGAAGTTTGTTTGGATCAGGAAAATGTACTTTACGTGTACAGGGTAAATAGCTTCAAGTTCTGCAACTTCTTTAACAAGCAACTTGCCTCTCACAGAAACCCTCCGAGTAGAGTCAGATATGGAGGCTGATGTCCAGGATCCTTTGAGACTATCATCCTGCTTCAGCTTGCTTGCCAGTGTTAGCATTACTGCTGCCTTTCTTCTGAGCACTGCGAGTCAGGCGAGGCGGGCCAGCATCTAACACCATGCCTGACCATCGGTGGGAGCAAGATGCGATGGCACTCCCAAACATATTTCTTTAGGTGAAGATGTACGGAATCCTTTATTCTAGGTTTTTGAAACAGAGTACTCGGCCAACTTCTGTAGTCACCCTGCTGCATAGAAACACTAGAATGTCTTACAGATGTATGCTCCCCATTGCTAAGTCTTTTTTGGTTGTTCCCTGCCCTTAAGTTCTCCCTTGCCACTACTACTGTTACACTTTCAACTTCCATGAGGTCAACTTATCTAGATTCCACATATGAGTGAGATCATGTGACACCTCGATGATCTCCGGTTCCAATCATATTGCCACAAGTGGCAAGACAAGATCCGATAGTTTTTATTGCTGAAAAGTATTCCATCCTACAGAATACTAAGCATTCTAAACATACCTATGTTTTTGTTATCCATTCAATAGTTGATGGAAACTTAAGTTGGTTCCAATACTTGGTGTTGGTATGAAGATCTTTTCCAATCATATAGCTCAGTCTTGTCCATTTGAAGCCATCATTCACATTTTAGATTTCTTAAACTTATAAGGTATTTGACTTTCATTAATATTCAGCTTGGTGGCTTTGTGATGGATCAGAGCTGTCCTAACTTCACTAATGAAGCATGCAGACACAGAGGTGCAGGGGGCCTGTGGAGCTGCTTTCTCTGCACACTCAGCCTCAGAACTTTGTGTGCCTTCTTGTGATGTGTAATTCCCAGGGGTGCAATGGCTCTTCACCCTCTTGTGCTGTATTTGAAGTGTTTCAAAGGGACAGTATAGACTGTGTGAGCAGATCTCTCTCTCTCTCTCTCTCTCTCTCCTCTCTCTCTCTCCCTCTCCCTCTCCCTCTCTCTCTCTCTCTCTCTCTCTCTCTCTCTCTCTCTCTCTCTCTCTCTCTCTCTCTCTCTTTTCCTGGCAAATACAGTGCTGTGAGGCAGCTTGACTTACTGATTCAATGGTGCAACCTTTCCTCTAACTAACATCATCCTTTGCTGAGCCCAGTGTGTAAAAGAATTACCAGAGCTTTCTCAGTTGACAAGAAAGCAGGAGTTGGACCTTACTAAGCACACCTTCCTCTAGTCCTCCCCATACACCCTCGTGGCCTGGAGCTCCACTCACAGGCCACTTGTGAATGGGGTGGGAACCAGATTCAGGATGTGTAGAAGGCCAGAAAGGGAGCTGAGTGATGTCTTCAGACCTGACAAGGCAGGGACATTAAAGCCATAGCTTCTGTACACGGACAGCCTCCAAGACCTGCACTCAGAGCTCCGAGTGCTTGTATTGCCTCATCCTGATGCGACATATCATCTGATTTCCCAACCCCGGAAGAATGGAACAGCTCATTACAGATGATAGCAACCAGATCAGTGAGAGGGACAAAGCTAGTCCCAAGGCAAACTCAGCACCTTTGGAGGTCACTTCAGGTCAGTGTTCCATCCCTGATACATGCCAGTGGCTCATGCTTTTATATATACATTTACATATACTTTATGTATTTATTTATTTTAATATAGAATATAGTCACATATAGTGCATATATGTATATATAAACATGCATATCTGTGTATCTACGTATGTATCTGTGTATGTACTTATGTGTATGTACTTATGTACATAGGTACTTAATGAGAGCTAGTGTGCAGTTGTGTATAGTATATGTATTTATACACACATATGCATAAGCTTCACTTGTGCTTTGCATTACGCTTCATTGAATTTAATACACATATATAATGTACTATTATCATCATTTTTATCCCCACTACCCTTTTCTGTGTTCCTCTCACTGATCACCTTTACAAGTAGTCCTCTTTCTACATTTGTGTCTCAAATATCTATCACATATATTATTAGTGTAGAATTCTAGATTCTGGGTAAGAGGAAACGTGTAACATTTTTTCCTCTGAGTCTAGCTTAACTGCATATTGTGATGACGTATGGTTCTGTCCATGCTCCCGAGGTGACATCATTTAGAGTAAAGCTTCATTGTATAGATACATCCACTGTTCATATATATGGACATATATCCAACATTTTATTTTTAAAATGTTGTCTTACTTTTCTGTTGCTGCAAAGATATCATGACAAAGGGAAGTTGTGAAAGAAAGCATTTAATTTGAACTCACCCTTCCAGAGGGTTAGAGTCCATGACTATCATGGCAGGGAGCATGACAGCAGGCAGGTAGGAATGGTGTTGGAGCAGTAGCTGAGGCACATCTTGAGACACATGAGGGAGAGAAATATAACAGGGAATGGTGTGGGCTTTTGAAACCAAAAGTCCACCCCCAGTGACATACCTCCTTCAATAAAGCCACACCTCCTAATCCTTCCCAATAATTCCACTGACTGGGGATCAAGTGTTCAGACCTATGGAAGCCATTCTCATGTAAACTATTACAAACGTTATCAATTAATTTGTGTTTGTGTACATGTGTAGGATGTGTCCTGTGTGTATTTGTGTATATGCATGCTACATGAGTGTGGAGGCCACAGGATAATTTTGTGTAGCAGGTTGTTCCTTCCCCCATTTACCCAGGTTCTGGAGATTGAACTTGTGTTGCTAGGCTTGCATGGTGAGTACCTTTACCTGCTGAGCCATCTCGTCAGCCTGACATTTTGTCCAATAGTAGCGTGATAATGTTGAGATGATTTCTTTTTTTTTATTATTTATTTTTAAATTTAAATTTAGATTAGAAACAAGGTTGCTTCACAAGTCAGTTCCAGGTCCCTCTCCGTTTCCCTCCCCTCCTCCCATGCCCTCACCCCAACCCCCCCCCCATTTCCCCAGGGAGGGTGAGGCCCTCCATGGGGGTATCCACAGTCTGTCATTTCATCCAGGGCAGGGCCCAGACCCTCCCCCCAAGAGTTCAGGGTGAGAGTGCATCTCACATTGTTGGATGGGAGTCCAAAGTCCATGTGTATACTCGGGATGAATACTGATCTACTGCCCAAGGCTCAATAGATTTGGTATGTTTTTCAAATATGTGAATGTGGTATGTCTGTGTGGGTGTGTGTATGAACATGTATGCATGTGTTTGGGGGAGTCCAGAGCACTGGATCCCTTGGAGCTATAGTTATAAGTAGTTGTGCGCTTCCATGTGGTGCTGGGAAGTGAATTCAGGCCCTCTGTAAGAGCAGCCCATGGTCTCAGCTGCTGAGATATCTGTCCAACACATACCAAAATGATTTCTCCCTGCTGGATCTCATGGATGCAATGGCATTTTTCAGTTATTTGACCTCCAGCAGCTATTTTATGAAATAGGAGCCACAGTTATTCACAGAGTCACAGAGAAGTTCAGTCCTTTGCCCAGCACCACACAGCAAGCATTCAGTGAGGCTGTAATTCAAACCCAGGAGTCCTGGCTATAGGACCCATGGCCTTAATGGATTCCATATCTTAGCAGAACTCTCCATGTTTAAACAATAAAAGCCCACAGTCATTGTGGCTACCAAACATCTTGTGTTGTCTTGGGAACTCACTTACCCATCCTGTGGAAAATTCCCTTGTCCTCCAGTGATGCCAGGAAAGAGAGAAGAAACTGAACCAAGCTTGAGGTTCAGGCCTCCTGGCATTAGATCTCCAAGTCTTCTCTCGGCCACGCTGCTCTCCAGGAAGGCCATTGGGCCATCCATCACTGGAAAAGACATCTAGTTGCTGACAAGGGAGGGAAACACCCAGGCCAGAGCTGCATGCAGGACAGTTGCATTATGATTGTGGTATTGTCATCTTCCATGGCTCAAGAGATATTTGGGGGTTGGCATGAGGCTACTTTACTTCCTATAGACATATTT